TTCCAGGGGATCGAAAATATTGTCATTATCATCATATGTGACAGTTCGTTACTGGCCACTGGAGCTGCTTCCCTTTTGGAACTTCCTCTCTGAGTCTTCAGTTCACACACCCTTTTTGCCAGAGCAGCAGTAGGTTTTCCATCCCATCTCCTTGTGTTTTCTCCGCAATCACGCAGGAACAACCACAGCTCAGCTCGTGGGGTGTACCTTCTCATCTGGGGAATGTCTGCATTGAGTACCAGAACCTCTGATCTGTACTGCCGAGATTTGGAGAAAGTCCTCTTTAATCTCCTCCCTCAGTTTCTTGTGATTCTCCTCCATCTTGTCTAATTTCTGCAGACGTCTTTCCACTGCTGCGATTCTGGCATGTGTTGGGCCATGCACAGCATCTGCATATGCTCGGAGCTTCTTTGCCATATCCAGCACAGTCTCCTCACCATCATCCCGCTTCATTATTCTAAAGCAGAAGCGTATTCTTGTGGCCCAAGTTGTACAAGTTTTCTCCACATCACAGACGTGCATGGTACCAAGTCTGGATTTACAGTGTTTACGTCATCTGAGAAGACAATCTCTGCCACTGCCATTTCCCTCAAGCGTTGAATCCCTTGTTCTATGGTCTTCCACTGGGTTTGCTGCATGCAGAGATTTTCTGCACACACGTACCTTTGTGCTACACTTCCCAGGACCCATGCCCAGAGGCTGTGTGGATTAGCCCCCCTCATGATTACTTGGTCAATGACAAGATCCTGTGACAGGGTCCCAAATGCCTCGCTTCAGTACTGTCCAGAATGCCTGCAGCATCCCAGAGATGGACTAACCAGCTAATTAGAGATCCATTGGGTCTTTGAGTGTAATCCTTTCTTAGGTCACGAAGGTCCTTCAGGGAGTAAGACTCAATAGTGGCTTCTGATGCTGTGTCAGTTGGGATAACTTTAGCTTTTGTATCAGTTTGTGTTGAAGGTCCTTCCCCTGGATCATCATCATCGGTCACTGGCTGATTCGTTTTGATTGTGTGCTTTTTTCCTGCAGCAACTGCCAGTGGCTTAGGCTCACTATCTGGTTTATCTGCTGGCTTCGAGCCTGGGTGTTGGCTGCAGCCTGAGTGATTGCAGTAGTTGCTGCTTTATCTCCCTGCCCCCCTGCCTCTGTCTGCTGCCCTACAGTATCTAACAGAGTGTGATAAGCATAGGCCAGGGCCCAACTTATTGCAATGAGCCTTCTTTCTTTAGAGTCATCATGGCACTTTTCTTTCTTATTGCAATGAGCCTTTTCTCTTTAGTCATCATGGCACTTTTCCCCACCTCAGCTGGGGTCTGGATTTGTTCACATGGAAAATCCCTGTTTACAGGATCAGAAAATTCCTTCAGGGTTTGGCCTATATTTTCCCATTCTCCACACCACTCAGGATTTTCCACACCTGTGTCTGCTTCTGAGTCAGGGGTCTCATTGGCTCCTCTGGACATCTCAGCCCTCATTCTAGAGAAGCTGCAGATCATATAGAGGAAGCTTACCAGATTAAATACCAGAAAGACAGTCTCTTTAGCATTCAGGGGAAACGGAACATTCTCAAAAAGTGACATAACAAATTTGAAGGAGAAGATGGAAAGGAAAAGCTGGAAAGCCTCATTCCTGCTCCTCCTCTAACAAACTGGGTGAAATTACTAATAAATTCCCAAAACATACTACTGGAACTGGGATGCAGGGTAGGACAAAGAAACCATAAACCATAAATATCATAAACAGACTCCAGTATCTTTGTAAATGCCCTATAAATCATATCACCAAGGCCAGCACAACAGCTATTCCAATCCATGCCCCTCTACTGTAAAGATTATGTGTTAGGTACAATAATCCTAGTGATCAGAAAGGTATTGAAACCTCAAAAAAAAACCTTTCTAGACCAGAACCACATGAAGGCCTCCACCCCAAGAGACATTACGAATTCAAGCAAAATGGCTACTGACTGCTTTAACTCACTACAGAGCAAGCACAACCAACATCCAATCAATAGAGCTTTTTTCCACTTTCTCAAGCCACGAATTGTGCGCCAATAGATGTATTTGTCCTGATTCAGGGCAAATTTTGGAGACAACCCCAAAGGGGCTCATCTAGGAAAGCAGATTCAATTGGCCCCTCCCCCCAACCGGTCCATGAGAAAATACCTCCTTGGAGAAAAGTGGAAAAAACTGTTTATTAAACACTAAAACCTAAACAATATTAAACAATAAAACCCCTTGCTGCACCAAAAGAGATGACAAACTCACAAAGTCCCTCCCCAGGCAGCAGCTCAGCTCACTCAGTCTCTGATCAGTCCCTCAGTGCTGGAAATGTCGCAGGCCAGGCCCGGCCCGGTGGCCACAGGTGTGAGCTGCCGGTGCACCCCTGGGTGTTCAGTCCAGAGCAGGTTTGAACAGCTCCAAAGAAAAGGGAAAAAGGAAAAAACCACAGTCCAGGGAACTTCTCTGCCTCAGCCAGCTAAAACTAACCAAAAGCAAAGGAGAGCTCTGTCCCACCGTCCGTCCATCCGCAGACAACACAGTCTGGAGCAGGAATGTCGAGGAGTGAGTGCAGTGTCTGAAAACAAACTGCGCGCTCCTTCTCTGCCCCCTTCACTCTCTGCAACAAGTCTTAAAGGTGCAAAACTTATTATTCAGCATAAACAGAAAAAGGTGACTGGGGATAAAAGCATCATATAGTCAACCTAGGACAATATGATACTTTATGTAGGTCTTTCTCTAATGTCTTGAAGATGGAACAATATGGAACATGCTTTTTTATGTAAGGATTCAGTAGTCATTTGAAAACTTACCCAAAACTTGTTTAAAAAAAATTGGGTTGTTTGATTTCTTATTTAAGCAGAGGGAGGGTAAAGCACCAAAAGAATAAAGCTAAATTTGAATGTGGCAGCATTACAAATGCCTTGGAAATAGTTGATAGGCTGTTAAAGATCATCCTGAGAGCCACAATACATAATTTATTGGTGGCACTGATTAAATGTGGAAAGGAAATGTGTATAGATATATATGGAGAATATTTACAAAAATGCTCTTTGAACAAACTATGTTGCAAGGGAAAGCAGCTGATGAAAATTAGTGTAAACATATAGCTGGGCTAAACAATGAAGACCGAGAATAGAAAGGAAACTAAATGTAGTTAAATCCCATGAAGTGAACCCTGTGTTACATGTACACTCAATGAGAGAAATGGGTACCTCATTTCCATTACATTGAAATGACAGATTGAATTTAACCATTGTTTCTTTTTGTTGGGTTTTGTTTGTTTGTTTGTTGGTTGGTTTTGTTGGGTTTTTTTCATAAATTTTTCTCATCCCTTGATGTTTCCATCCATTTCTACTGTTAGAAGGTGTTTGCTCTCTGTACTATGGGCCTTTTGTTTCCAGGTTTACCTCTCAGGACCTGACGCAGTTTTAGGGCTCTGTGCTCTTCTGAGTTTTAAGCTCCTTGGCACTGGTCTGTGGATTTTAAAGGCTCAAATATCCTGGTTTTTTGAGAAGGCAGAAGTGTCTGACACCTAGAGGCAGACACATTACATTAACTTGCTTTATTGTTTCCTGCTGCAACTACTTAATGCCTCCCAGAATATAAAATATAATATTAAACAGATACCCACTCTATGAAAATTACCATTTGTCCTGGGGTGGAGTTATGATGCTTGTATCCTCATTTATCTATTCTGTGCCTTTAAGATCGACTCTGAAGAGTGGAAGTTTTGTTTGGGTTTCCCTTATCAGGGACACAGAAATGAGCAGTACATTGGGCTGTTTTTCACTTCTAGCTTGCAGCTTGCTGCTTTGCTTGCTTGCTTTTCTGCTCTTGCTTCTGCTCTCGCTTTTGCTTCTGCTTATTAGCTAGTTTAGCTAAACAGTCCAAATTCCTTCCCGGACTGTTTCTCCTCTCCTGTTCCTGTGACCATCTCGAACCTGCTCCGGACTGGGACCCGGGAACACTGAAGGTTTGGCTGCAGCAGCTGGCCCAGCGCCGGAGGGACTGAGAGCAGAGCAACCACCCCAAAAGAGACTTTCTGATTTTGTCATCTTTCTCAGAGCAGTGTCATCGGGTATTGTTCATTTTGTGTGCGGGGGGGTGCTGTGCCAGTCAAATAAACAGGTTCTTTCCACCTCTCTCCAAGGAATTTTTTCCCGAACCGGTTGGGGGGAGGGGCCGTGTGGGTTTTGCTTTCTGGAGGGGCCCTCCTTTGCAGATTCTTTAACAAATTTATCCTAAACCAGGACACCATTTAAAGAGTTTAGTCTTCAAATAAATGTGCATGCAGTAAGTGAAGGGTTTGGGGAAATAAAAGCTCTTGTTGTTTTTGTAAAATAGTTAAGGATGGCAATGGAAAACCTAATAGGAATGCAAACATAACATGGGTATTGGAAGAAATCCTTCCTGTTTTTATTGTTACAGGTAGTGTGATAATCTTTGTGGACGCTTGAATACAGCTGTATACAATATTACACTAGTAGAGGAGTTGAGATTTGAGATGTATTCTAGGATTGTTAGAGGAAACTAAAGATACACAAAGATACTGCTAAGTCTCATGAAATATACAATTACTACTTTAAATCAGCTGTTAAATTACTCTCCAGTCATTGCCATAGACCAGTCACAGTCAGCAAGTTCACACCGTGGAACAGCAGATTAGTTCTTATTTGGTAAAACAACTAATCACCAAGTGTGCAAGTACGAAATACAATCTCATTTCAAAAGTATTGAAGTTAATATGGAATAGATGTACTCTGCTAAAGCTGTATAGACAACAAGGGGGTCTTTTAGGACTGCTTGAAAGCTGATAATGTTTAAAACAGGATCAATTCTTACTGGAATCACTACCATGTGAATGCTGAGCTACCAGCTTCTGCAACTCTTTCAAACTGTCTTCAGAAGGGCAGATTCATCTGAGTGGCAGTCTGGACCTATGTTTTGCTTAGTCTATAAATATGTTTGGCAGACAGTTTGGAACACTTAACTTGCCCATTTCATACCACTGTTTAGTATGTCAGCTTTCTGGAATATTTTTTCTGGTCCTCCAGAATGAAAAAGCAAATCTCACTTTATGGTTACATATTTGGTTCATTACATATTCAGTTCTCCCCTTTTGTATTATGAATCAAGCCCATTAATCTGACGGGATCATCGTGAATGGCTTCTTCTTTCGCCGTGTTTTCAGCAGCCAGCTGCTCGCTGTTGAGATAAATGCTAACTTTGGAAGCCACCATGGGGTTAGATGATCTTTCTCCTTCATCTTCCTCTAATGAAGGATCTTTCTTTCTCCTTGGTTTTCTGCATTTTCCCTTGACACTGTGATCAAGTGAGGCATAACACATCTGACTGGCTGACTCCACCTGAAAGAAAATTCACTTTACGTTCAGTAGTTATCCTTGCTTTAAAGTCTAAGTCTTCAAATATGTCTATGCTCTAATCATAATCCTGCTTGTAATTTGCCTAAACTAGCTGTAAAACAGCTCATTAAAAGTACAAATTATTAAACTGTGGGAGAATGGAAAACAGATCAATATAAGCTAATGGTAAATGACTGATAGTGGCAATATGGAAAAATTCATCAAGGTATCACTAGAAAGAGTCTCTGTGGAAAAGAGGGAAGCTCATATAATAAATCCAGATTCTTCAGGATGCAAGACATTATTTGATCTGGTTTTCTTCCCGCTTTTTTATTTTTTAGTTGGAATCCTGTTATGAACAGGCTTTGTTTGTGCAGAAATTCAAAGGTGGATGATTCTTGTCTATATATATGATCTCATTTCCAGTGCAAAATGTGTGCTTTTTGTGTCTTTTCCCTGATTTTTGTGCTTTTTCAAGCCAGACCATCAATGACTGTTGACATTGGAATGTCTAGATTTAAAAAGTTGTTCTTTACCTGCTGGAAATACCCTGTGAGAGTCTGAAAATCCATCCCTATGATATATGTGGCAATCAACTCAGGAAATTGATGCTAGGAATGCTTCAATCACAGGCAAATTTCATTTGAAGCTTTCATGCTTTTAGGCATACAGGTATCTCAACAAAGTACAAATCAATAGCAAATAATCTTTCCCCGGTTAAGGCATATAGATTTTGCACTGGACAGGAGAGACCCAGTCAAACTCATGAGTATCATGTGATGCAGCTCGTGTTTTCACTTGGTTGATAACTAAACCAAATAAAATTAATTCTTTACGTTAGCCATGGATGCAAATTTAATTCCATGTGATCTTCATGCCTGTGGCTGAGCTTTATTATGCTGTATTGCATGGATCTGAACCATATATAATTATGCTTCCTTATTAATGACTCAGATTGAATGGAGGGTCAAGTTTGTACTGAAATACTTTGATGAACTGAGATACTAATAAATGGTAATTTTTGTGAGAGTGTGAAGATTTTTGTTATATACTCTTATAGGATAAATAAAGGAACTCTGAGACAGACCGTATTACTCTAATTCAGAAATCTATAACTAAAATTAAAGATACCTGTAGCTGGTTAACTGGTCTTTGAGGCTGGGACTTCATCTGCTCGTAACAACATTCTTCTGTAATTTATCAAAGTAGAAAAATCTTTTTATTAAGACATGCTACTGAGTCTTAAATGATCAGACAAACAGATTTTATCTGTTAGAGGATGCTCGAACATTAAATTAAATTAATGCTCTAAACTCCCCCCAGTTTGCTTTGGTAGGATGTTTGTGTTTGTTTTGAAATCACGCATAGTTCTCTCCCTCTAATTATAGAGAGGTAAATAGCTAAGAAATTCAGACACATACTGTAAAAATGGAAATAATTGTGTTCATATGAAGGAGAGGTTTCTCATTATTTACTTATATGAGTGTCATTTTAGAGTGGTAGGAGGACTTCTTGCAATTAAGAGGTAGCCACATACTGATTAATTTTTCAGCACAGGCAGCCTTTTCTTTGACTGAGAAAGAGGTTGTGAGTTGCAGCAGCTGGTGATTAAATTTTGTTCCTGACTCTACTTCAGTTTTCTGTAAATTCAGTTCTAGTTATTTTCTCATGTTATATCTCATTTTAGCCACCAGTAAAACAGATTACTTCCTTACAGTTTGCAGACTTTTACAATGTCACTGCATTTGAGCACTGACTTGATTAAATTTATGCAAACTGTGTATGAAAAAGTTGCGTTTGTTTGGGCTTTTTTTCCCCCTGCAGTTGAAGTGCTTTAGTTTTGCTTAGCTCCAATTAAGGCTTGCAGAAAAAGTCATTCTCGTTACTTAAATATTGCTTTAACTCTATAAGGGCTTTGAAATCCTCTGCACATCCAGCTCTCGCTGCAGTTACGTGATGTTACAGCCTTTAATGTGTCTCTGCCAAGGATTGTTAACTTGAGCACAGTAGAGCAGAGCCAAGCTGTCTGCCCACAATTCAGCTGCTGGGCTTCAGCACATTTGTCAGCGTCGCTGGTGATATGTGGATAGCCACAGCAGAGAGCTGGGATGTGTTTGTTTCTGCCTCCTTCTGTGGGAGCACTGACCTTGGACCGTGAGTAATTTGTGATTTAGATTGCTTTAATAGGCATGGATCAAGCTGCTGTTTCTGTTAGTGTAGCTTTACATTTAGACAGGCTCTTTATTTTGAGATACTTGGCTGAATAGGAACATATGGACTGTTAAAAATCAAATTCAGCATGAGATCTGTTCTTATAAATAGTAGTGCAGTATGAAGGTTTGCATTTCTGTCCCAAGTATCTTTTAATAATTTCAATTATATCAATAGTGGAAAATATGTAGATTCTCAAGTTTGCCATTTGAGAAATGCAAAATATGTCAGTCATTTTTAATCATACATTTTTACAGCCACTGAATAGGCACGTGTTCCAAAAATGAAGCTTACCTAAAATATCTTGATTGAGATTGCCATAAACTGGATAATCTTCTGTGTGATAGCCATCATAGCTACAAGGGGAATGAAAAAATACTTTTAATTCACAGAATATGCTTTATTTAGCACCCCAATACTATATTTTAGTAAATGTTTTATACACATATGCAGATTGCGTGTGTCTATCTATATAGAGCAGACATATATGTTTGTTATCTTATAAACAAGATCAAAAATATCAGAGGGGGCAGAAATGGCAGTATGGGTATTCTCAGGAGAGATTTGTTACCTAGCCCAGAACTGAACTCTCCTTCCCTGTAACTTCATTAAGCACAAAGCTAATCTCAAGACTATTACGGTACAGTTTGAGGTAGGGTAAGAAATATTGATGATCACTGAAAGGAACCCAATTTATCTCCTCTGAGACCACTCTGCAATACAAACTAAAGCACCATATGTGTCTTTTGGGACGATGTTCTTAAAAGGTCCCCTCTTGATTAAACTAAAATACTTCGGTCAATACAAGCAGAGAAGACCATCAGCTTTGCATTTTTAATTGCATATTGTGTTTCATTACCTGGTGTTACTTGAAAATGTTTTTAAGTGGATTTGTAAAATGGGAATTGTTAGTGGGAAGCACTTTGTAACCTTCCTACTGCATCCCTATATTGCATCTCATCGGGGGGTGAAGTTGTCCTCTAACACCACATTCAGTGGTATTTTTCATCTGAACAGTCAGTAAAAGACAAATAGAGATTTTCTAATTTCAAGAAAATTTGCAACTGAGAATTGGGTTTGGGTAACAGGTGCAGGCTTTTGTATTTTTATTTCAAGGGCCTTTTCTATTTGGGTTGAGATGAGACTCTATGCATCTCTGTTTTCCAAAGTTGAGCTTGGTTTGGGGTTTTCTTCTGTGTGGCATAAGAGAGAGAGACTTGAAACAGATTTGTGCAACAGATCATGAGATATCCTACAGCTGGAAACAGACTTTTTTATTGCTTTTGGATGCTATGTGTAAAATATGTAAATGTAAATACATGTAAATTATCACTCCACAAGTTTTAACTATCAGACTATATTTTGTAACTGCTTTGTGAGAGCTGAGAGTTCTTTTAAATTATTATGGAATTATTGACTATAAGTGATAGGTAAAGGTGGTTTATCTCAATACCTTGCACTTTCAGATAAAGTAGTATTAGCATGCAATTATTTCATTGTTGATAAAATGACTGGAGGATGTATCTCAGATGTGAATATTTTTTCCCTAGGTTTTTTGAAATTTTTTTTTCCACTACCAACATTTCCAGGCAGACTGCATGAGATATTGAATTTTCTCTCTATGCCATCCCTCCAAAGCCATCTGTCATTATTTATTGCTTATTTTACCCTTGCCAGAAAAAAAACTTTTTAATACAACTTACCTTGGATCGTTCTCTTCATAGTCTTTATACATTTTAGCTGGATTTAAAAAAAAAAAAAAAAAAAAAAAAGAGAAAATGAAACATAATTTTAGAACACTTCAGTCTCACAGGCATGGTTTTGGTTTTGTTTTAGAGAATACAGTTGAAATCTTTGTCTCTCAGGATCTTCATTTGTCCCTCTACTTTTCTCAAATATTTTGTCAAATACAAAAAATGTTTGTATTATGGCCCTGTGCTGTGTCTACAAAGTCTACATTAGTTTACAGTACCCAAAAAACATATTGTAAAACATGTGATTAATTCTTTATTTCCTCCACATTTTTTTATTTCCTTTGCCCTCATTTTTTTCTCACAGATTTTCTCTGGGGAGGTGAATCGTGTTAATATCACAAAATGATGGGTTTATTTATTTCACTAGTTCTAGTATGGCTGAAAAAGAGATCCTGTGATCCACACAGATGAAGAAACTGAAGCAGAGAGGCAATGGCTACAAAGAGATTTCATGCTAGCGCCTGATGAATAATTCAGGAATGCCTGACTTTCTAAACTCTGCTCCAGGACTCCAGAATTTACCACAGTAAGCTCCAGCTCAATGACTAATGCAGCATCAGCCACTCTGACCTCAATCTTGGTCAGGTAAGTTTTGTAAATGATTGTGATTCTTCCTCATAGAGACATCTGCCTAGTTGCCCTAAAACACAAACAAAAAGCTCAACTGATACCCATCCCAAAAGACTCCAGCAACTCTCTTAATATCCTGTGGATATCTGACTCTCCAATACCTGGTGAGCTCAGTTTATAGGCACAGGCCCTCTGCTTATGTGGATTATATACACAGGTGTATTTAGCCTTGTTGAAGTCACCAGTGTTTGCCTGCCCACCCCTACATGTACAGCACAGGGGCAGTTTTCCCTGTGTAAAGGGAATGGTGAGAATTGTACAACTTCCTAAACATAGAATCACGTGCATAAGACAGGTTGCGCTGGCACAATCTGTCAAAAAGTAAAAGTTAATTTCAACCAAAACCAGAGTATGACTGCAGCCATATGAGAGACACACTGGTTTAAGAAATACATTAGAATCCTATTATGAAAAGCAATTAGAATGTTTTTCCAAAATACACTGATAAGGCATAAAATCTCTATGAAATCTGAAATTCAAATGAGCATTCAGGAATTTGGGGAGGAGAAAATTTTCTCAAATGTATTTTCTATCAATGCATCTACTTAAAATAATTTTAAAATGGAAATATACATAATAATCATTTATAAGAAAAGTATACTTCCTAGGAAAGGAAACTGCAGGTATTAAAAATAGATTTTAAAAATAAAAACTTAGTCAGAATTAAATTCTTCCTGTTTTGCTGATTTACCTTCAGAGAATGGATTTGGGTACTTGTTTTTAGCTGTGGATTGGGCAGTTAGCAGTTGTTCTGTAATCATACCTGACTCTCTTAGAAAAATTCAAAAGATAAATCTTCTTTAGTAAAATCATTCTTGCCAAAATATAACTTTAAGATTCAGAAGAATCAATTTGTCAGCTTGATAGCTCTGAGCAGGGATGGCTTTAAACATTGAAATTCGATTTCTTATAAAGAGACATTACTTACCCTGCTTCTTTTTCATACAGTGTACAATATTCAGTGTCACTGAAACAAGCAGAGACAAACTCAGGAAGGCCAAAACTCCCCAGACAGAAAAATGGCAGTCCATTCCTGCAACTGAAAGAAAATTTACTATATGAGTTGTCTAACAATATTACTGTATTCTCTTTGTACTTGGCTAGTTTTTGGTTTCTGTAATCAAAGCTGCTATTTTGTTGTTTACTCTGTGACAGCTATTGCTGTACAAGCTAAATAATTAATATCAAAATCAGATGCTAAATATTAAGAAAGCAACTTTAATAAACTGTTAGCAGAAATACTGTTTCACAGGAATTCAGCCAAAGATTAAACTATTGGTTTGCCTGTAAGATGCAGTAAAAATCCGAAATTAATAAAGAAGAATGTAATTTTACTGGATAGCTTTGACATTATTTTTGCAGTTGTCTTTTAGTTAGTATTTGTAGCAAATTAAGTAAATTCTTAGCTAAATTTTAGTGTTCATGAAAGTGGTTCTGAATTTAGCCAAAACAAATTTGCTGGATGTGTCTCAGAATAATAGCTAAGACTGTAACATTTTAACAATCCCTGAAAAAAGTGAAAATTTGGTTATGTTTTCTTGCATTGTTTTCCAGCTATTAAAACCACTTACTTGTTTTACTTGTTCTTATTGTCTTCCCTGAGAAACCAGAGAAAGTGATGGTAAAGGATAAGCATCAGCTGGGAACCAGTGAAGCCCCAAGGAAAAGTTCAAACAGCTCCTGGAAAATCACTTGGTAAAAGGTGGGTCTACTTATCTGAACAAAATCTTCTTTTGCTCTAAACCTGCCACTCCTTGCAATAAGAAAGACAGGAAAGAATCCCCCTGAGCAAAATCTGTTTTTTAATTTAATTAATTATTTGATTAACCTAGCTAATACAAATTTTCCATCACAAACCAACCTATTTGTGGCTGTCTAGTGGCCAAAATTATCAGGGTTGCTGCAAATGGCCTGCGAAAGCCTTCTGTGACAGAGGAAACACTGAGCCAAATAAATGAGTGAAAGGAGCTTGCAGCTTTATTCGTAACTTTCCCCAGAGGCGTATTTCATGTTCTCTGAGATTTGGAGTGTTTGAAATAAAGCCTGGTGCCCAAAACTAATGGCCTCTAATAGTGCATAAAAAGAAACGCGTGGCTGGAGCAGTCAAGGGGCCGGATTGGACAATACTGATCCTTAGAGCACTTTGTTGTTTTTTGACATACCTGGATTCCCTCAGGAAGCCCACATTTTGTTTTTTTCCTAAGTAAAGCTGAGTTAAAGGAGTACAGGAATGCACTTTTCCATGTTGCTGGCCAGGGGAGAGTGGCAATGCATTTGCTGAGAAAACAGAGCTTTGTTCCTTGCCTGACTGGGCCCTGGCTCAAAACCTTCTTACAGGTTTTGCCCCCTCATTGCGGTGGTGTTGCCAAAGCTCTTTTTGTTTTGTTGTACCCCAACCCCCAGGTGTTCTTATAAGACAAAACAAGAGAAGATAAGCCCTGGTGGTAAAAAAATCACAAATTACCTGGGCATCTGGGATGCGGGTCTCCTTCCTGATCAGAACGCTCTTTTAAAAGGAACAACACAAAGCAAATAAGCTGTAATTTTCTGACAGACTTTTATCTTATTTTGCGCACGGTACTTTCAGTGACCATTTATTCTTCTTTTTAAACTAAACATCCTCTTTCCTTTCCCTTCTACTACTTGAGTTCTCCCAAAGGTATTTGAGAGTACTTTGTCACTGCAATGCTCCTTTTTGTGTTGAGAGACACTTTTATGCAATGAGATACAGACATTTATGAGGAGAGACAACATCTCCATGGAGCAGCTATACATCATTCCAGTTTTTCAGGGAAGGAATTAAAAGAATGGGAGATCATACACTGAGAAGATATTATCAGGATGCATCAAGAATCATCAGTCTTTGGAACCTGGTTACTGTGCAATTAGTCACTTAATATTGCATCCCATGCAACCTGTCCAAAACAATAAATCTGTCCAGGACAAGAAATTTCAAGTTTCACTGTTGTACCTAAATAATCAGAATCCTCTCATTCTTCTCCTGTCTTTTTTCTTTTCTGATGTGATTGGTTTCCATTCTTCTTGTGTTCATTTCATATTTCTTTTCCTACAAACACTTTTCCCAGGGAGCAGAACCAGTATTGTGGCCTATGAGAAGGGAAGCACATGTAAATGTGATAGAATCACAGAATCAACCATATTGGAAAAGTCCTCTGAGATCATCGAGTCCAGCCTGTGACCAAACCACACCTTGCCATCTGCATCATGGCACTCAGTGCCACGGTCATTCTTTCCTGAAGCACCTCAGGGACAGGGACTCACCAGCTCCCTGGTGAGCCACAACACTGAGGTTCATCAGAACAAAAAGAGTGAGCAGGTACCGCAAGTACAGTCATGATCTAACATTGTTCCTTTTTCTTCTTGTAGAATGTTGTTATTTATCTCTCTGATTCAGGAATCCAATTTTTGCCTGGTGTTTCCAGAGTAGAAGGAAAACTCTTAGTTTCAATTTGACTATTTCCAGTCCTTAACTGGCCCACTTTTTTGTTGGCAAGTATTATTTTCCTGTTTCAGTTTTTGATTTAAATTGAAATTATTATCTGGAAAATAGTAAAGGATGGATAAAATTCTTTTCTTTTTATTTTCAAGTTTAAATTCTATAGTATTTGAGCCATCCTACTTCTCAAGAATTTAAAAAACATTTTAGGAAAAAAAATATATGAAACTTGGATTTCTCATAAAACATAACAATGTTTCAAATCTCACAATCTATAGTTTTAAGCATGATTTAGGAAATTTCTTGGGTGTGGGTAGATTAAGAAAAGAACACTTAAATTTCTTCCTGGATGAACACTACTTAGTTTTTTTTAAAATTTATTTTCCATAACACTAACTTAAACATCTGCTTGTGTTTCAGCAGAATGAATACAAACATATGTGTGACTTCAGTATATTTTTTTTTTGTTTGTTTTTGCAATACTAGCTATTTGTTTGTCAGACAACACTACTTATATGGGAGAAACAACAGCAGTTTTTAATTAGCCCGCAAAACCATAGTAAACACCTTGATCGGAGATGTACTGGCACTCTTCTGAGAGCTCCACTCCATTTTAACATTAGTTTCAAGCTAATCATATACCCAGATTTAAAATACGAGAAAATCCAATTTTATATCCTAGCTTTACAGATATGCAACTCCCAGATCTTTACTATGTCTTCTTTTTCTTATAGGTCTTTCTGATATGCTGCTTACATTTATAACTGCATGATTTCAATATTAACTACTTTGACAACAGCAGCATTAGAAGGAAAGCTGACCAATTGTGTGAAGAACAATTTGTCTCCACAGATAACTGCACTCCCTAAATGTACAATAGTAGATGCAGCCTCTCAGAGTTAAGAGGTTGTGCTAAAGACAAAAATAAGAAAAGGAGACTGTAGATGGTGACTGAGAAATAAACAGCAAGTCTATTAGACTAATTATATTCCATTTTGAAATGTTGTCTTTTATTCTATTCTCTAATTTTAATTCTCATGCAAGTCATCTATTCTCAAATGGAGCAAAACTATAATAATCTTTCTTTATGTAACATATAATTAGTCCAAAGAATCCGTAACACTGTATTCAGGGGCATTCTCATTCAAGCCATCAAATGGAATATTTAAAAAAAAAGAACGTTTTGTATCTTTTGAAAAAATTCATATGGAATAATTAAGCTGCTTGGGAATAGGAGACTCTGATTCTAAAAGCTCAAATTCCATCAGGGTTTTCTGTGACAGTGTATCTGTGATAGGAAAACTTTAGGGTGGTGGTAGTTTGTTACAAGAAATAATATTGAAGTCTTTTAAAGTAACGTGCTCCTCTGTGAAAGGAAGATGTTCATTACATACCCAAGGTTGCATGAGAGGGACAATATTTGTAATATTGTTAGTAGACTTTGGGATGTGTGAGTGGAGAAATATTATATTTAATAATTATAAAGATGACAGTATTTTGATTAACTAATATCAGACTCTCTCTAGTATTAATGACATATTCTTATGCCGCTGTTCTTCCCTTTATCTTTGAAAACCAGGTTAAACTTGGAGTAGCATCCAAGTACAATGTCTGTGTCTTAGGTAAGTTACTTCATTTGGAAAATGTTTTCACTTTTCTGACTTCAGGGATGGGTTACTCACCACCTCTTAGTATATTTTCCAGTGTTTTAAACTGAATGTACTAAATTCACACCACAAAATATAGACAAACAAAAGACCTTCTAAATACATAGTTAATTGTGCTTTTTCTCTTTAAAAGTCTATTGACAACTTTCTCCACCAACAGAAACATAGGAATAAATAGTTTTGGTAATTTGTTCTTAGATTTTCTCTTTACAGGGTTCATTATATTGTCACTGGAACACTGTGAGGGAAAAGAAGCAAAAATAAAACCCAACCAAAAAAACAAAAGCCTCCAAAACATTCTAATTTTTCCTGGGTGAATTTCTGCTCTTCCTTTTATTGCAACTCAAAGAAATGGATATAATCCTGTACTCACTTACCTGTAGGAAGTGGAGTCAGATTTAACAATTTGTGTTGGATATTTGTCCTATTAACAACATAAGATTAGGTAGCAGAAGTGCTATGTTTTGTTCCTCCTTGCTCTAATATGTTTTGTTTAGAGAATCCATCACAAGGGATAACAGGGAGATAGGCTACTTCTACCAGGTTTTTGTACTGAAAAGAAGGTGAGGTGCGGAACATAGATACCATCTAGCTGGACATGCCATCTGTGGTATCAATGTGTTATCCACAGAGGCAGATTAATTGCTACCAGATTTATGGTGACGATCTGGAGAACAGAATGGTTTCTTTCCTTTCTTTCCTCTCGTTTTTGTCTACAATTTTGTTAACAATTACATAAAACTGTCTTTCCTCCCCCATTCCAATTAAACATCGATATAAGTAATATTTTGTCCTAATGGCCCTTAGAAAAAGAAACTCATTAAGAGACTGATGAATGTTAAATTAGCATTAAAAATGCTTCCACCTGTGTGAGCATTTAATACAGGATTAATTCTCTGAAAAAGATTCCTTAAACTGCAATTAATTAGCGCACAACTAATTGCTTTGTAAGATATCAGCTTCATACTTCAGAAGGGAAACAGCACACGGTAAAATAAAAAGGCCCACAGCACAGAATTTTCAGAATAAAATCAATGCCTTAATTAATGAAGGTTTAGCACCCTGAGCCACCTTTTAGAAGACTGCGGATCTACATAGCACGGCTCTTCTGCTCCAATGCTTACAAGTTTAAAAGATAAGGATTACCTGATCCTGTTGCTTCTAGGAATATTCCCCTCTCCTTTATCCAACAGGAAATCAAGTTATGTTGGCAGAAGTTGGATACTCTTGTTTTGAGCCTGGCAGCATGAACCTGTCTTTAGAGTTGCTGTTAATCTCAAATCCCTCCAGTCTTTTTTTTTCACCTTCTTTCTTACAAACAGGAAATGTGGTTCAGCTTTTACAAGCAACACACATTCTCCTTCAGTGTTTGCCTCCAAGAGAGAATTAAAGTATTTATGTGTACCCTTGTATTTATTGTCCACCTGTCTTGCCTCAGAAGAACATGTACAGGACTATAAGTTTCATTTATATGATACAAACCTACTATTGTAATATTCATATCCACACTCTAAGTATTCTTGGGTTTAATGTTATATTGAATTCGACAAAAGTATTTAGATACTTCTTAAAGTAAATTACAGAACTATTTTACCTAGGAGTTTTCCTAGTGGCTCTTTCTCTCTTGAAGTTTCTAAATCAAGGCAGAAAATAATTGCTGAGAGCTTACAGTTTAGCAACAATAGGATTTACAGGCATGATGAAGGAATTATAACACTGCCAGCTCTTGAAAGTCAGGTTAGAATAACATAATGTCATTCCTCCATTCTGTAGAGTTTTCGAATCTGAGACCACCGTCCAGTACAGTTGTAGAAAGAAAGGATAAACAAATATGTGGCTTACTGTGTGTATTTGTCTTTAGAATTTAATGAAATATGTCTGTGTTTAGGCAGAGAAGCCATTTTATTCTCAGAATCAGAGTAGCTTCTTCCAGAGGAGACTTGCATGCTGAGCACTGTCCTAGAAGCCTTCTGGTAGCTTCTGATGTTTTAGGTGTAGTTTGGGTTTTGGGGTTTTTTTTTCAGAGCAAACAGTTTTATTTCCCACAAAGTATGATGTAGAAGTAGGAGGGGGTTCTTATGAAAAGAATGTGAATCATATGACTATGTTTGTCTTTTTGGAATGCATAAATTGAAATAGCTCTCAGTGTAGTCTAAGGAGCAATGTAAAGCTCTGTTCTTTCTCTAATGTGAGAAAATGTCCTCTACAATCTGTGTTTACTTGGGATGCTATTACTTTGGATTATGATTTTTGTATTAACTGCCTTGGATCAATGCTGAAGAAATAATTTACTGGATTAGCGTCTCATTTGAACGTGAAGGAACAGATTAGTCTTGATTAATATAATATATCCCATTCAAGTCTAAGGGTGACTCTTAACTACTCAGAGCTTTATCATAATGAAGTGAATAGAGCAGGAGGAATTAGTCTGAAAATACTCAAAATGGTGGCAATTCTTATCAAAGAATACTGAACTGAGAGAGGAACTGGAGAGGGTGGAAGATGTACATTGTGAAAACAAAGGCAGTTGCTTCATTTCTCAGCTAGGAGCACGTGGAGTAAATCTGAGATCTGCAGAGGCTTCCAAATAAAATGCTTATCAGCCTGAACAAGAAGCTTACAAGAAATAAACTCCTTTGGAGATAATTAGGAGCATAATGGAAAGGTGAACACTGAGAATGCAGCAGGGGATTTCTGAGTCTAGTCATGCTGGTGTGTTAATAAATCTGCTCTCCAAGGGCAAATCGTTGCTGCACTGTATCAGCTTCGAATGGCTACAAAAGAAAAGTCTTTTGGAATAAATGTGAACTTGGTATGCTATTTTGGGCAACCTGCAGAAGGCTCTGTTAGACAGCAAGAAAATATTCGCTTCAGGCAGTAAAATCCAGTGGGAACATGAGGGGGTTTTTTTCCCTTTCCTATGTATCAGTGCTACATTGAAAAACTTAAGAGAGCCAGTAGTCTGCTTAAAGCGCTGTTATTCAGGACAATAGAGACAAGGACAAATCATGACTATATTTAGAAAGAGAGGACGTAAGGCAATACTACTTCATCCCCATCTATTGCAGACAAAGGCATTTCCTCCTCTGTTTAAGTCCCCAAGCTGGGGACTTAAATTCCTGGGTGCATATTCTGAGAAAGTGTCTCTGCCTGCTTAATTACTTATGTGATCTTTGTTAAACATACGATGCTGGTATCTCAACAAAAGAGTCTGTCTCAAGTGGACATCTGCCTTGGCTGGGAATAGCTATTGGTGC